TAAGAAAGTGATCTTTGACTTCTGATGTAGTGGAGAGGGGGCTAACACGCTAGATTAGTACTCTGATGCATAAGTTACTAAGAAAGTGATCTTAGACTTCTGATGTGGTGGAGAGAGGGCTAACGCGCTAGATTAGTACTCTGATGTTTAAGTCAATTAGAAAGTGATAGTGGAGAGGGGGCTAATGCGCTAGATTAGTACTCTGATGCTTAAGTTACTAAAAAAGTGATCTTAGACTTCTGATGTGGTGGAGAGGGGGCTAACACGCTAGATTATACTCTGATGCTTAAGTCAGTAAGAAAGTGATCTTTGACTTCTGATGTAGTGGAGAGGGGGTTAACCTGCTAGATTAGTACTCTGATGCTTAAGGTACTAAGAAAGTGATTTTAGAGTTCTGATGTGGTGGAGAGGGGGTTAACGCGCTAGATTAGTACTCTTATGAGTCAGTAAGAAAGTGATCTTAGACTTCTGATGTAGTGGAGAGGGGGCTAAAGTTCTAGATTAGTACTCTGATGCTTAAGTCAGTAAGAAAGTGAAAATGATGCGTGAATGAGATTAAATTTGAATACTTGACAAATGGCGTGTTTTTCTTCTTAATTAAGAGAAATGATTGACAACTGAAAGCGTGGAGTGAGATGTGGATCGTAGTCAGCTGTCAGATGGATCTGGATGGTCGGTAAGGCTCGCGTTAGTGCGGGATCCCTTGACTGCAGGGAATTTGAATTCTCAACTCCGAGCCTTTGTAAATGTAATTCTTAATGTATATATTGTCTGAATTGTTAGAATTGAAAATTAAAAGTTGTCTTTTTATGGTTTTGTTATTGTATGAAGAATTTTATCGCTCAATAAACTAATTGCGTACTTGACCTTTTGATTTTCAGATGTGTTATCGAAATCTCACGAGAAGTATGGACCGGTTGTTAAGCTGTGGTTAGGTCCTACTAAGCTTCTTGTATCAGTTAAAGATCCAGTGCTAATTCAAGAGATGCTCATAAAAGCTGAGGATAAGTTGCCTGCCGGAAAAGCATTTCGTTTAGCGTTTGGTCAATCAAGCCTTTTTTCTCCTTCGTATGAAAAGGTTCTTAACTGTCAATTTTTTTTCGTATATAAGTTATAAGTTGTTTTCGTAAGCTATCTGGAAGACTTATGAACATGTCATAAGTTGTTTTCGTAAACTCACATGTTTTAATTTAAATTCTCTTTAGGTTCAAAAGAGAAGAGAATTATTGGAAACAGAATTGAACGAAAGTTTGATGAAAACGGCTGATCTGAATCATCGAAAGGTTGCAGACTTTATCGTAGATCAAATAGAAAACATCAGAGTCAGAGGAAGCGTTAGTCGTGAGCTGGTTTCTCAGCATATGGCTTTCAAATTAATGGGAGTCACATTCTTCGGAGACGGCTTCTTGACATGGCCGAAGGCTGCAATATATGAAGAACTGCTTATGATGATTGCTAAAGATGCTTTCTTTTGGGCTTCCTATAATGTTACTCCGTTTTGGAATCGAGGATTTTGGAGATATCGACGGTTATGTAAAAAGTTAATATGCTTAACTGAAGGCATTCTTCATTGCAGAAAGTGCTACGAGATTTTAGACCATATCGATCAGAATGTTCGTAGTGAGAGTTCCAACCCAGAAACAAAATCAGCAAATGATCAGCAAAATTCTAAGGAAGAACATTACGGCAACATCATGCGTGTGATGCTTCATGGATCTCAAACTACAGCTGCTTTAATCGCCAACGTGTTGACTAATCTTATCATGAACTCGGAAATACAGGATAAGGTAGAAATTTGTTTATTCTGTATTTACTTATCCGGTTCGTAATTAAATTTCACTGTCGATCGTTTTATTTTTGTTTATTCTCCAGTGATCAAAACCTTGGGTTTTGAGTCCTATCTTATACGATTCCCTATTGCTTATTTTCGAATGCTTTTGCAGGTTTATTCGGAGATTAGCATGGCCGGGAGAAACCCTTCAAAATACGAGCATGAAGATGTTTATAGGATGCCTTTGCTATTGGCTACAATTTATGAATCTGCACGTCTTCTCCCCACCGGTCCCATGCTTCAGAGGTGTTCTACGAAACAAGGTGAGATATTCCTTACTCTTCACCGCCGCAAGTATGATATAGATTATTATGTAATATATGCAATGATTATATTTATATCTGCGAAATGCGGAAATTTAACTTCTTGTTCCTTTTATTCATCCCTGTGTTAGACTTGAGATTCGCAAATGGTGTAAGAATACCTGCTGGAACTGTACTCGTCGTTCCGGTTCAATTAGTACAAAAAGATGACTTCAATTGGGGGAAAAATGCAAGTGATTTTAATCCGTACCGGTTTCTGTCAAACGTTACAGAACGATCAGGTACGAATCTCGTTACTTAGCTGATAAGTTTTGTATCGTATAAGTAACCTCGAGATTTCTAATTTAATATTATTTTAGTCGTTCGCTGTGGATTATGTCTACTACCCTGACGAGCCTTTGTTGCAATACTCGATACCATCACTAATCTTTCAATATTGATATTTCTTTTAGGTTCTGAAGAACAACTTGATTATAAAATCAACTCGTTTGTACTAAACGATCCAAGCGAAAATGCATCATTTCTTCCTTTTGAATCCGGTAAACGTTCTTGCGTTGGGCAGAAATTTGTTATCCAAGCCGTTGCCACATTGTTGGCATCATTACTCAAGAAATATGAGGTTTGTCCTGTGAATAATTTTCTCGCTCATGCTTCTTCTATTACGAGAGAAAGACACGAAAACAATCGATATCATAAAGTTACAGATAAAGATAACAATTATTTTTGGACCTATATACAGATAAGGTTCAACTCGGACTCAGATGGTAACTCGGAACCGTTGCAAAATCTTCCTCTTCAGCATCATCCTAATTCAGAAATACTATTTGTGAGAAGGAACCAGTGAAAGAAAGAGAAAGACAAGTATACTATGTAGATAAAGTTGTTGTTTTTATTCAAGTCAACAATGCAGGAAAATATCCGCATAACCGTTGTCTTTTTCCGTGTTTTTCCAAGATGAATGGGGAAGCTCTCCGCGATATTAATGGCTTCACTGTGGTTACATGGGAGGATACAACTTGTGTTTATGAACTCAAGTTTTTTTCCTTCCTATTTTTACTCATTGCCCTAGTGTTTGGCTTAAAGCCATGGCACATGTTTTTGTTGGTTTTTTAAGCACTAAGGGTATATAAATTGCTGCTAGGAGCCATAGGTTTTGCTTCCCCTTCTCTGGATGAGGAACTCTTTCTCTTTTGATGTTGTAAACTTTTTTTTACTTCTGTAAGAAGTTGTTCTTGTGTTGTATCATCTTGATATTGTTAGAATAAATTGTAATTTCATGTGTAATTGCACTGCTACAAATGCAACATTTGAACATGTCAATGAAATGAACCTAATGCAATGCTTTCTGATTTTGTCATTTAGGAAAGTGTGGAAGTAGCTTTGAACTCAAATATTGTTGAATTGTAATTGCTTAGTAAATGGTTAGATTGACCATGAGTTTGGCAAAAGTGTGGAAGTAGTTTTAAAGTCAAATATTGTTATGTGTGTAATTGCTAAGTAAATGGTTAGATTGACTCATGCTAGCTTGTATCCTAAGTATTTGTAAATCAATATATGTGAAATTAGAAAGGAGAATGTAAATGTTGGGGTTTCGGGAGTGTTTGAAGTGTCGTTGAGCTAAACGTTTAGGATCTTAGAGGCTTTGATACCATATATCCATTTAAAATCTTAAAATAATGAGTATATGAGTCACTTATCTTATATAGTCAATATTTCTTTTATTTCGAATGGATGTGAAACTTAGCCACTCAGATTTGAATCCCTATAATCTCTCTCATAATTGTGAGTCACCCATATCACTAGACTTGACCCATATTAGAATTTCACTTCCATTTTCCTGCCGAATCTAACCATGACTCTGATACAATTTGTTGGCGGGTCTGAGAAGGGTCGAAAGTGTCATCGGGTTAAACGTTCAAGATCTAAGAGATTTGACACAACATATCCATAAAAAACCTAAAGACTATGGGGCATGAGTCACCTCTCTTATCTACCAAACCTTAAGGCTATGAGGCATGAGTCACCTCTCTTATCTACCAAACATTTCCTTCATTTCTAGTCAACGTGTCACTTAAAAACTCATACTTAAATCCCAACCGTAATTTTTTTCTTCTAAAAACACCGATTAAAAGATTAAATGATGATCAGATGCTTCCTTCCTTCCTCTCCCATCTCTTTAGGAAAAATTTCCCTCAAACCTTTAGGGTTTGATGGCTGCCTCTCACCTATAACGTGACTCTCTTCTAAGTGTTTGGTAATAAACCTCAAAAGAGTCGTGTCTTGGAGTAGGTTAGTGTGTGTCTGTTGACTTTTTGTAGTGACGAAAAAAAGTTTTACATTATATTTGTTCATCAACTAATTTTCGAACATTCGATAAAATTGAACAATTTTAAAACTAAAGATAGTCGAAATGCGCAAATAAAAGTCAAAATAATCATCTTTAATTGCATAAAGACAATGTATTCTCTTTCCTATATTGCCATTGCTAATGATCATGTTGTAAGAGAATGGATATAAGTTGTTGCTTTCAGTCTATTTGTGTCTTCTTAACTTGAGAGCAATTTCTAGGTAACATCTTTTACTACCATATAGCTTTTTCTTACTTAAAAAGAAAAATACAAATTCATAAACCAAATTAAATATTCAGTCCTTGGTTGGTGCTTACCCCAAATTTTAAAGATAAGAAGACAAAAGCATAGCCAGCCAAAATTGAAAAGAGTTGTATCTGTCCCCACACCACAATAGAAAAATAGTGTCATATAGACTAAACTATTCACTAGTCAACTTCTTCCACAAATCACAACTATGTTACCAAAACAATGCACTTTACTTGAACTTAATTGGATTGGTAAAAAAAATTCATGCAAAAGCCAATCTGATTGATGAAAACATGGATATGATATGATATGGCAGAAACTGCAGTGTCATTTGTTTTGCAAGAACTAGGCCAATTTGTAATAAAAGAAAGTTGCAAATTTGCAGTAGAAGAAAGAGCTTCGGTAGCGGGGATTGAAAGAGACTTCAATGACATCAAAGATGAACTTGAGAACATCCATGCTTTCCTCAAGGATGCAGATAGAAAGGCTTCTGATGATGGCGGAGGAGGAGGAGGAGGATCCAATGGAGTCAAAACATGGGTGAAGCAGGTGAGAGAAGCGTCTTTTCGGATAGAAGATGTCATTGATTACTACAATATGTATTTGGCAGAGAAGGCAAGTCAATCTATATTCAAATCTGCGATCCAAATGATTCCGGGCTTGAACACTATCATGAATACAGATCATCAGATTGTTTCTGAGATTCGAGACATCAAGATGTCACTTGCTAGAATCAAAGAAAGAAGTACGAGGTTTGAGTTTCGGTCTGACAATGAAGCGGGAAGCCATAGAGGGACTAAAGCTCCTAGAATTGGCGACCCTCGAATGGCTCCGTATTTCATTGAAGAGACTCAAGTTGTAGGGTTTGAATCCGCGCGAGATGAGTTGGTCAGATGCTTGGTGGAGGGAAACAAGGAGCTCATGTTGGTTGTTGTGTTTGGCATGGGAGGACTCGGGAAAACTACTCTCGCAAAGCATGTTTTTGATAACCAGATAGTGAAAAGTAGCTTCGATTGTAGATCTTTCATCACGGTTTCTCAAACATACACTATCAGAGAGCTGTTGACAGAAATGATAAAGAAGTTTTGCAAGGACAGCAATGAGCCTATTCCGAGGGGTCTGCAGAAGATGGATGACGAAGCGTTGATTAATCAAGTGAGACAATACCTTGAGTCGAAAAGGTACTTGGTTTTATTCGATGATGTTTGGAAAGATAATTTTTCCGATGAGATTGTACATGCCTTAATTAGTAATAACAAAGGAAGCAGAATCATTGTGACAACTAGAAAAATGCAAGTAGCAGAATATTCTAAGAGCTCTTTTCCTGTTCATGTTCATGAGCTACAACCTTTGTCTCCAAACAAAGCATGGGAGCTGTTTTGCAACAAGGCGTTTAGAGGGCGGTGTCCAACAGAACTCGAGGAGATGTCCAGAGAAATCGTTCAAAAATGCGGAGGGCTGCCACTAGCAATTGTGGCCATCGGTGGTCTTTTGTCAACAAAAGCCAAAACCATGTTCGAGTGGGAAAAGGTGAGTCGAAATCTGAGAATGGAGCTAGATCGCAACGTGCATTTAACTAGTCTAGTAAAGATTTTATCTCTTAGTTATGATGACTTGCCTTACCGTTTGAAATCATGCATGCTATACTTCGGTATATATCCTGAGGACTACACGATCAATCGGAAGAGACTTACTAGACAATGGATGGCCGAAGGGTTTGTTAGGCACGAGGAGGGAAGAACTTTGGAGGAAGCTGCTGAAGAGTGCCTGACAGAGTTGATACAAAGAAGTTTGGTTAATGTTTCGAGAGGTGGCTTTGATGGAAAAGTCAAGAGTTGCCAAGTCCATGATTTGTTGCGCGAAGTGATCATTAGAAAAATGAAAGATTTAAGCTTCTGTCATTTATGCCATAAAGATGACGAACAAGTCACTGTCGGAATAACTAGACGCTTTTCTATAGCAGCTATCTCCAACAACGACGTGACAAACACTAGCAACTCAGGAATTCGTGCTATATTTGTTTTCGACAAAGGTGAATCTCCTAAAAAGCTCATGGATGGATTAGCCACCAAGTTCAAGCTTCTGAAAGTGCTTGATTTTGAGAATTCTTTGTTGAATTCTATTCCTGATAACTTGGGGAATCTTTTCCATCTAAGGTACTTGAACCTGAGTCATACGCAAGTTACCGTTCTTCCCAAATCCATCGGTATGCTAGTCAACTTAGAAACCTTGGATCTAAGGCAAACACCAGTGCATGAGTTACCAAAAGAGATAAACAAGCTCACAAAGCTAAGGCTTCTTCCGGCGTATTATAGAAAATACGAAGGGCATTATGCTATGTTGAACTTTACAATCGGAGTGAAAATGCAAAAAGGTATTGGAAGCTTGAAATCCTTACAAAAACTTTACTTTTTGGAAGCAGATCACGGTGGAAACGACCTTATCCAAGAGCTCAAAAAGTTGAAACAGTTAAGAAAGTTAGGCATAAAGCATTTTTCCGATGGCTAAAATTGATGTCATAAAATCATCTATAAATATATATAATATTACCATTAACACCTGATACAATAAAATTGATGTCATAAAATCATCATTAAATATATATAATATTACCATTAACACCTCATGCAATAAAATTAATGTTATAAAATTTTCAATAAATATCTACAAATTTTTATTTTTTATTAATATTTTTTTATGAATTCAAAAAACCTAGTCATCCTAGAAAAATGAAAGAAAAAATAGATGTAGTAAATGTGTGTTGGTATGTAGATTGACACAAATTTTTATGTGAAATAGGGAAATCAAAACTCTATAACATAAGTAATAATAAGTGTATGTTCCTTTATCCTAACTCATACCCTTTTTAAAAAAAACATGTATTTTGGAAGAAAAAAAATTCAAACACTAAAAAATTTGAAAAAGTGAGAAGATTAAATTACCTAGGAGCTAGGATCTGAGATACCATCATCCAATGATTCTAAAGATATGCAAGCAATATCAAATCCGTTTTTATATTCAAGTTTATAAAATGAATAATATGACATTAGAGAGAAGAGATAAATAAACTTCATTCTAAAAAAACCAAACAGAAATTCAAATCAACTTGTTTAGCATAAAAGACATAATTGTAGAAAAAAAAACATAAATGACTGAGTTGTTATAATAAAATAACTTAAATGACCCACCAGCATTTTCGCCTAAAACTGATGCCATAAAATCATATGTAAATATATATAAAGGACTGACTTGTTATAATAAAAGTATCTGTTAACATAAAGGAACAAATTGTAGCAAAAAAAAATATATATATAAAGACTGACATGTTATAATAAAATAACTTAAAGGACCCTGCCAATTTTTGTATAAAATTGATGTCATAAAATCATCTGTAAATATATATAATATTACTATTAACACCTGATACAATAAAATTGATGCCATAAAATCATTTGTAAATATATATAATATTACCATTAACACCTGATACAATAAAATTGATGTCATAAAATCATCATTAACATCTGGTGCAATAAAATTGATGTTATAAAATCTTCAATAAATATCCACAAATCTTTATTTTTTTTATTAATATTTTCTTATGAATTCAAAAGATCTAGCCATCTGCAAAAATGAAAGGCAAAAAATAGATATAGTAAGTGTGTGTATGTAGATTCACATGAGTTTTTATGTGAAATAAGGAAATCAAAACTCTATAACATCAATAAAAATGAGTGTATGTTATATTATCCTAATTCAGACCCCTTTTAAAAAAAATGTATTTTGGAAGAAAAAAAAATTCAAACACTAAAAAATTTGAAAAAGTGAGAAGATTAAATTACCTGGGAGATAGGATTTAAGATACCATCATATCAGTATAGTGTGTTTGAAAAAAATGGGATTTGCAGAGAAGATTGAAAGACGAATAAGGAAGAGAAAAATGAAAAAAAAAAACGGTTTGCAAAGAAATGGGGTTTGTAGACAAGATTGGAAGATGGAGAAAAAGGAAGAAAAAAAATAAAAAAAAGGATTTGCATAGAAATGAGTTTGTATAGAAGATAGAGAAAAATAAGTTAGAAAGTGGAAGAGAGAACAAGAACGTGTGGTGTTGACAGATTGGTGTGGGTAAGTGAAAAGGTAAAGAAGATTATGTTGAAAAAAGAGGAATTTGAAACCAAAAAAGGAAATGTTAAAAAAGTACATAGGATAACACATATGTGTACAATTGAGATAAAAAAATTTGGGACAATTTAATAAATTCATTCCCAACTAAAGGTAAAACAAAACCATATTTTGACTTAGTTGAAAAAAGTAAATTTTGAACATTAAAAGCCCTTTAATTGGACACACGTCAGAGGAAGGAGTGAGGGAAAATGTAAACTTTCTAGAATCGTTAATTTTCTTATATTAAAAGTATTATGATTATTATTAAATAAAAATAGGATTGATGTTATAATAGTATGAATTATAAATAGGCAAATGATATGTGAGATTAATATTTATCTTTAATCAGTCAATTATTATATGGCCATTCACGAGTAAATTAGTTTTTATTTGGAACGTACACGAGAATAATCTTAACATAAAACCGATGTGTGCCCTTCATGCATAAAATGATATGTTAGTAATTTGGTTAAAAATTTGTCAATGATCCAAATTAGGGGTGACAAAACGGGTCGCCCGCCCCGTCCCTCTTCGTCTTAAGCCCGCCAAACATCCAAATTACTTTTCAGGATTATCGACTGACTCCACAAACCAACACGAATCTTATCAGCATGCTTTGTTCTCACTGACACGCTTTTCGAGAAACTTCCCAGAAGGTCACTCATCCCCAAATTTCTCCAAGTCAAGCACGTTTAATTATGGAGTTCTTATGAAACAGAATATCGAAAAGAAGATGCATCTTGTTAGTGTAGGTAGTACCAATTAATCCTTATAAGCATTTTTTCAACCATGCAGTCTTATACCTACACAACCTCAGGATCCCTCTCATTCCGATGTGAATTTGATTTTTCCCTAGAAGCTGCTAGGAGTGTCTCATTGTCATGCCTCATGCACCGATAATCACTTCTTCACCCTCGGGTATTACATGTAACCACTCTCCGCCCTCTTTGGCCTTGGGTGTTACAGGCAAGCCTGCCAAGCAAAATTGGGATTAAAAATCCAGTCCGCCCCGCCAAGGTGACAGGTTTGCGAGCGACGGGCTTACTTGCCTACTTTATATATATATATATATATATATATATATATATATATATATATATATATATATATATATATATATATATATATATATATATATATATATATATATATATATATATATATATATATATATATATATATATATATATATATATATATATATATATATATATATATATATATATATATATATATATATATATATATATATATATATATATATATATATATATATATATATATATATATATATATATATATATATATATATATATATATATATATATATATATATATATATATATATATATATATATATATATATCTTTCTATTTTTTGAAAAAGATAACGAGTAAAATCAATAACGTCAAGAAGAAAAAATTACAAGTTGTGGTTGATGTATCCATTGAGTTACATGATCAATCACTTTATCTTATACTACATACCAACAATGTACACATTCAAAACCATAAAATGAAACAATGCACACATAAACATTGTTGTACCCATTGAAGTTGAAGTTCAAATGCATAAAGTGAAATAACGTTAAAATTAACTTATCAAAATCAATTCTAATTTGTGCAAAATCAAATCTTTTCTTATCTCTTTAATCTAAGATTGAACAGCTGGAGGAAGTACCTGGATTCTTCATCGGACTCGGCTGCGTGAGAGAGTTGTCACACTCGTGAGCGGATGATTCTTCGTTTGTGTGAGGACTCTTTTGCATGCATTCTTCATCAGTGTGCAAACTCGTCGTGAGTGGTTATTGTGGTTATGTGTGTGAGTTCCTATTCTGTGAGAATGTGAGACTGAGAGTGAGATAACATGTAGGTTTAGATTTCTTAAAATTGGGCTTGGGCCATTTCATTTTTTAAAATTGGCGAGGCAGTACCAGTATTTTTTTTAATTGGATTTTTTTTAAAAAAAATTTTGACGGGCTGGTGGGCCAACCTCGCCTTATATGTCTTCAACTCACAGATTTTTTGTCTTTGGTGGGGAGGGCTAAACAGGTGGGCAAGTCTTAAATTCCAACCCAACTCGCCATCTTTTGACAGGTGCGCGGACCGACTTAGCATGCCACGACCCATTTTACCACCCATAATCCAAATGTATATAGAAGATTAAGTTTTCTCCAGTCCTATGTAAAATCTGTCAATTTTCTTATCCTTATAATATTAATAAAGCTTAATTGCAACTTTGGTGTACTTATTTGTTTATTTTATATTTTATTTTGGTCATCTATATTAAAACTTTGGTTTTTAGTTCTATTTTAAAGTTTTTTTCTAGGATTTTAGTTCTCCTTTCAAATTGAGACCAAATTTTAATGACATGACATTAATATTGATGATATGTTACTGTCATATTGACCAAATTTAATTCCACATATTTTATTAATTTATAAATTAATTATATAAATTTTAAGAAATTAATGAATAATAACGTACAAAACAAAACTTTGTGTCTCGTGGGATTTAAGCTACGCCCTCAAGGCTATAAAGTATTATTTTATGGAAATTTCTTTTCCCACCCTTAGGATGTGGCTCACACCATTGAAAATTCGAAATTTTCCACAAATGCGTCCGAAGATGCATTTACGGACGCACCTTAAATCACTTCATCCTTCGTAAATCAAACAGTCACCCCATTTTTGCCAAAAAATGGGTCAGAAATGCATTTCTGAAAACACCACTGAACCCATTTACTATGCGTTTTTTATTAAGCTAGTTTATTTAACCATACAGTGACTTTACGAATGTGCATATCCGAATACACCCCATACTAAATTAAAAAAAACACAACAAAGAATTTTACAGATTTTCATATCCGTAAACACCTTTTTTCGTTAAAAAAATAGGGTGTATCCAAACATGCATCTCCGAAAAGTGCCCTGATGACAGGATAAGGTTTTTAAGGTTAAAAGTGACCAAAAACTTGTATAAATAAGGTGTCTTTCATCCCATATTTTTTTTACAAAATACACCACAGTCAGAGAATGAATGCATATCCCCACCTTACATTTGTGTATTTCAATGGCGTGAAGCCGCCACTTCAATTTAGGGTCATCGAAGATGTAACATCCCATATACCCTTAAATGATCAATTGGTTATTAATTGAGATCAACTGAGTTCCTATGTACTCTATCTCTTGTCAGTTGGAACAATTTGAGCTCCTATGTGCTTTAATTGTTGTCAGTTGGGACAAGTAGAGTAACCAATGGACTCAAAAGAGATTAATTATTATCAAAAGAGAGTGACCTTTATTAATAAGTACAAGAGACGACATTTTGGTAACATTAATAATTGGTCAATTGGTACTAGAAGACAAAATACCAACTGAGATATTTTATATCATTACTTAACATTATATATTATAACTATGTATGTATATTATATATGTGTGATGGTTAAGAAAGAAATAAAGAAAGGATAAGAACAAGAATATAGGTACCAGTAAGGGAGAAAGAAAGAGAAAGAGAAAGGGAGAGGAAGAAGAAAGCCATGAGATCATCATCATCCTCACCACAAAATTATCTCATCTTCTTTAACAAACTTCATCATCTTCAATAGGTGAGTTCTTAGTTAGAAATTTGGGGGATTTAGAAACTCTTAGGGTTCCAAGGATCTAGACATGGTTTTGTGAATTGTGTTGTTGTAGTTGATCATAACATGATGTTCTTGTTCCTATGTTATTGTTGTTGTTGTTGTCTTGGATTCCATGTTTGCACATGTGTGTTGTTCTATGAAATTATGCCTCATATTTCTTTGTTTTGGTGTGGGTTCATGTTAGTATATGTTTTGACATGAATTTGAGTGATTAAAATTGGAAAAGGGAGTGTTTAGAACATGGATATATGAAGAAAAGTGATGAACCAATTGATTGGTTATGGAACCAACTGCCAAACAATCAATTGTTTCATGATTATGTGAAGAAGAAACAAAATTTTCATCATGTTAATCGATTGACATGAAAGACCAATCGATTGATCTTGTACATTTTGTGAAAAATACCTTGCAAAACCTCAATGCAATCGATTGGTTCAGTATTGTTTTGCCTAAAACAACTTATTTCATGTTTCTAAACCACATTGGATGTATTATAACTTGTGATATGATGTGTATGCTTTAGATTAACATTAATCGGTCAAAATTCATGAGCTTTTTTGGGTTTAACCTAGAATCTTAGTTAGGTTAAAATACTTGGTTCTTGTTTCCACCATAACTCAAGAAATGTGGATCCTATTGATATGAGACTTGAAGAATTAGAAAGATAATCCAATGGGCTATTGCATGGTGATGAAAGACCATGAATAACCATGGATGCTTGGTGGAGGATAGTAATTGTTATATGCCTTATGTGTTTCATGTATGACATTTGGATATGCTATTGTGTATGCTATGAATTAGTTAGATGTCTTGATTGTGTAATAATAGGAATTAAAACCTTATGATTATGAGTTAGGATACCTAGGAGTACAACTAGGTGAATGACTTAGAAAGATAATCTAGGTTATGGAAATAAGTTATGTGGCAATGCTTGGACGCAGGGGTACCTTGACGTGTGTCGTGGACAAGTAGTCGCTAGAACTATAGTTTTGTTACAAACTAATATGCTTTGTATGGAACATGAGTAAATGATAGGAATTGGTAAGTAAGATCACCTAGTGATTGGCGAGCACAATCATGTCGTGTTTGATGAATTAGTCATATATTCGGAAACAACCCCATTGTTGTGCCCGTCCCAAAGTTTGTTATGAAAAGTAAGAATTGGGATATATGCATCAATGTTTCGCCCAAACAAATGGGTTAGAGTCCCATAGTGCAACCAAATGGGTTAGAGTCTCAAGGTAGACCTCAAGGTGGGTTAGAGTCTCATACGAGAAATAAGGCTCAAAATGGGTTTGAGTCCCATAGGAAGAAACTATTCTTAGATTAGGCACAAGTCCCATGAAAGAATTTGAAATTCACTAGAAATTCGAAGCATAATACAAGAATTTGTGACCCGTGTCGAGAATCCTAGACGTAGGGTTGACCGGGGAAAGATGCCTTGGTACGATTTCCGAATAATAATTATTTTGAGTTGGTGAACTAAATTGTACATGTTTCCATACAAATGCGATAATCCCATAGTTGCTTAAGTCTTTATCTTTTTAAAAACTTGAGTTAGAAAATCGATTAGAAACCATGTAGAGCTGAGTGAACCCATAAGATAGGGGAGCTCACTGAGATTATCATCTCACCTCAATATTGTTGTTGTTTTTCCAGTGTTGTTTGCAAGTTATATGCAAGGGAGGTTGTCTATTGATGTTTCAAGAGGTGCAGATTATTGTGACCTTCCGCTGTGGATTGCGTGCACTGAAGAGATTGCACTTAGATCTTAGTTTTTATTTTTATACACTATTGTATAACATGTGACATAGATATATTTTAGTTGGACATGTGTATATAATGAGCTATTAGGATCTTATGTTGTGTTACTACCAAAAATTAATACTTGTATGATAGTATTCTCGATATATATTATACAGGTTATTACAGAAGACACAAATCTCGCCGATTTGACACCCAAAATGAATACTCTCATACGATATCAAGAAAATCAAAGAGTTGTCAAGTTTGAGTATCGTTCACTCTTGTTCGACAGTGAACGGAAGATACAGTTCACCAACTTTGAACTGAAGACGAATGAAGATTTAAAGGTTATATGGAGTATTTTTCGTCGTTATGTATTAAAGGGTTCGATTAAAGTAGATGCGAAGATTGCAATATCCGCCGAAGATATTATCAATATGTTGTAACGTCCTCAACTACCTGTTTATAATGATATGTAATGTTAAATTTATGTTAATCATTATCTATGTAATGTTGAGCGTTTTAATTTAATGTTAAGTTGTTGTGGTTTCTAGATTTTTCTCATACTGTCTCTGTTTCTATTTTGAAATATCAATGTCATTTTCGGATATGCATATTCGAAATATACCAAATATACGTTTAGAGATGCAACTCCGGACTAAAATTAAGTATAACAGGAATGACTCACTCGTTTGCGTTCAATTTTATGAAAAATAAATTTGTCCAAAAATACATATTTAAATTCTAAAAATATTTTTGAATTTTCACCAAAAGTTTGTGAGAAGATATAGGGGTGGAAAAATAAATTTTCTATTTTCTACCATATTGTTTATTTATCAAAAATCTATCTTCTTTTCGGTGATGTTACATTTCTCGAGAAAAACACTACTATCTAATTACTTTAAAAAAATCTAGTATTGATTCATTCTTTAAAATTTATCATCTTACTCACAATCACAATAATTGTAACAAAACGACGCCGTCACACACTCCAAAAAAAACAAACAACAACGTTGTTTTTGTTTACTCTCTTTCCACCACATTCTCTTTCTCTCTCTAAACACCAATAAGAAGAAAAAAAAACACAACAAAAAGTCATAACAAAATGAAGGATTCTTCATCATGTTTCACTGATTCTTCTTCCTTTTCTGTTCCAAACACTTTTATAGGAATTGTTCTTCTCAACTCCAAAATCAGATCTTCATCTTCCTGTAACAACAGCACTCTTCTCTTTACTCGTTCTCAGCTTCTTAGAGACTTCGCAGCAAGAGAATTTAATGCTTTTCTATGGCTTTTTCTTCTTGTTATCACTTCTCTTTTGCTTACAAGACTCTTCAATGTTTTCACTTTGTTGTATAAAGCTAGAACCATTCCTGGACCTCCAGCTTCATCGTTTTTTGGACATTTCAAGCTTCTTTCTGAAGAAAATTTTACTGGTGATTATCTTTAATTTTCTTTCACTTTGTTGATTTTGATTTATAGTTGTTGTTCTTTTAGGAATTTTTTGTAGAGTTTTTAGTATTTTTTTTATTGTATTTGTTCCGTAGTGAAACCATAATTGATCGGTAAATGAGGAGGTAGAGCTTGCTTGGGTGATCTTAGGCTTCTGATGTGGTGGAGAGGGGGCTAAGGTGTTAGATTAGTACTCTGATGCTTAAGTCAGTAAGAAAATGATCTTTGACTTCTGATGTGGTGGAGAGGGGGTTAACGATTAGTACTCTGATGCTTAAGTCAGTAAGAAAGTGATCTTAGACTTCTGATGTGGTGGAGAGGGGGTTAACGATTAGTACTCTGATGCTTAAGTCAGTAAGAAAGTGATCTTTGACTTCTGATGTAGTGGAGAGGGGGCTAACACGCTAGATTAGTACTCTGATGCATAAGTTACTAAGAAAGTGATCTTAGACTTCTGATGTGGTGGAGAGAGGGCTAACGCGCTAGATTAGTACTCTGATGTTTAAGTCAATTAGAAAGTGATAGTGGAGAGGGGGCTAATGCGCTAGATTAGTACTCTGATGCTTAAGTTACTAAAAAAGTGATCTTAGACTTCTGATGTGGTGGAGAGGGGGCTAACACGCTAGATTATACTCTGATGCTTAAGTCAGTAAGAAAGTGATCTTTGACTTCTGATGTAGTGGAGAGGGGGTTAACCTGCTAGATTAGTACTCTGATGCTTAAGGTACTAAGAAAGTGATTTTAGAGTTCTGATGTGGTGGAGAGGGGGTTAACGCGCTAGATTAGTACTCTTATGAGTCAGTAAGAAAGTGATCTTAGACTTCTGATGTAGTGGAGAGGGGGCTAAAGTTCTAGATTAGTACTCTGATGCTTAAGTCAGTAAGAAAGTGAAAATGATGCGTGAATGAGATTAAATTTGAATACTTGACAAATGGCGTGTTTTTCTTCTTAATTAAGAGAAATGATTGACAACTGAAAGCGTGGAGTGAGATGTGGATCGTAGTCAGCTGTCAGATGGATCTGGATGGTCGGTAAGGCTCGCGTTAGTGCGGGATCCCTTGACTGCAGGGAATTTGAATTCTCAACTCCGAGCCTTTGTAAATGTAATTCTTAATGTATATATTGTCTGAATTGTTAGAATTGAAAATTAAAAGTTGTCTTTTTATGGTTTTGTTATTGTATGAAGAATTTTATCGCTCAATAAACTAATTGCGTACTTGACCTTTTGATTTTCAGATGTGTTATCGAAATCTCACGAGAAGTATGGACCGGTTGTTAAGCTGTGGTTAGGTCCTACTAAGCTTCTTGTATCAGTTAAAGATCCAGTGCTAATTCAAGAGATGCTCATAAAAGCTGAGGATAAGTTGCCTGCCGGAAAAGCATTTCGTTTAGCGTTTGGTCAATCAAGCCTTTTTTCTCCTTCGTATGAAAAGGTTCTTAACTGTCAATTTTTTTTCGTATATAAGTTATAAGTTGTTTTCGTAAGCTATCTGGAAGACTTATGAACATGTCATAAGTTGTTTTCGTAAACTCACATGTTTTAATTTAAATTCTCTTTAGGTTCAAAAGAGAAGAGAATTATTGGAAACAGAATTGAACGAAAGTTTGATGAAAACGGCTGATCTGAATCATCGAAAGGTTGCAGACTTTATCGTAGATCAAATAGAAAACATCAGAGTCAGAGGAAGCGTTAGTCGTGAGCTGGTTTCTCAGCATATGGCTTTCAAATTAATGGGAGTCACATTCTTCGGAGACGGCTTCTTGACATGGCCGAAGGCTGCAATATATGAAGAACTGCTTATGATGATTGCTAAAGATGCTTTCTTTTGGGCTTCCTATAATGTTACTCCGTTTTGGAATCGAGGATTTTGGAGATATCGACGGTTATGTAAAAAGTTAATATGCTTAACTGAAGGCATTCTTCATTGCAGAAAGTGCTACGAGATTTTAGACCATATCGATCAGAATGTTCGTAGTGAGAGTTCCAACCCAGAAACAAAATCAGCAAATGATCAGCAAAATTCTAAGGAAGAACATTACGGCAACATCATGCGTGTGATGCTTCATGGATCTCAAACTACAGCTGCTTTAATCGCCAACGTGTTGACTAATCTTATCATGAACTCGGAAATACAGGATAAGGTAGAAATTTGTTTATTCTGTATTTACTTATCCGGTTCGTAATTAAATTTCACTGTCGATCGTTTTATTTTTGTTTATTCTCCAGTGATCAAAACCTTGGGTTTTGAGTCCTATCTTATACGATTCCCTATTGCTTATTTTCGAATGCTTTTGCAGGTTTATTCGGAGATTAGCATGGCCGGGAGAAACCCTTCAAAATACGAGCATGAAGATGTTTATAGGATGCCTTTGCTATTGGCTACAATTTATGAATCTGCACGTCTTCTCCCCACCGGTCCCATGCTTCAGAGGTGTTCTACGAAACAAGGTGAGATATTCCTTACTCTTCACCGCCGCAAGTATGATATAGATTATTATGTAATATATGCAATGATTATATTTATATCTGCGAAATGCGGAAATTTAACTTCTTGTTCCTTTTATTCATCCCTGTGTTAGACTTGAGATTCGCAAATGGTGTAAGAATACCTGCTGGAACTGTACTCGTCGTTCCGGTTCAATTAGTACAAAAAGATGACTTCAATTGGGGGAAAAATGCAAGTGATTTTAATCCGTACCGGTTTCTGTCAAACGTTACAGAACGATCAGGTACGAATCTCGTTACTTAGCTGATAAGTTTTGTATCGTATAAGTAACCTCGAGATTTCTAATTTAATATTATTTTAGTCGTTCGCTGTGGATTATGTCTACTACCCTGACGAGCCTTTGTTGCAATACTCGATACCATCACTAATCTTTCAATATTGATATTTCTTTTAGGTTCTGAAGAACAACTTGATTATAAAATCAACTCGTTTGTACTAAACGATCCAAGCGAAAATGCATCATTTCTTCCTTTTGAATCCGGTAAACGTTCTTGCGTTGGGCAGAAATTTGTTATCCAAGCCGTTGCCACATTGTTGGCATCATTACTCAAGAAATATGAGGTTTGTCCTGTGAATAATTTTCTCGCTCATGCTTCTTCTATTACGAGAGAAAGACACGAAAACAATCGATATCATAAAGTTACAGATAAAGATAACAATTATTTTTGGACCTATATACAGATAAGGTTCAACTCGGACTCAGATGGTAACTCGGAACCGTTGCAAAATCTTCCTCTTCAGCATCATCCTAATTCAGAAATACTATTTGTGAGAAGGAACCAGTGAAAGAAAGAGAAAGACAAGTATACTATGTAGATAAAGTTGTTGTTTTTATTCAAGTCAACAATGCAGGAAAATATCCGCATAACCGTTGTCTTTTTCCGTGTTTTTCCAAGATGAATGGGGAAGCTCTCCGCGATATTAATGGCTTCACTGTGGTTACATGGGAGGATACAACTTGTGTTTATGAACTCAAGTTTTTTTCCTTCCTATTTTTACTCATTGCCCTAGTGTTTGGCTTAAAGCCATGGCACATGTTTTTGTTGGTTTTTTAAGCACTAAGGGTATATAAATTGCTGCTAGGAGCCATAGGTTTTGCTTCCCCTTCTCTGGATGAGGAACTCTTTCTCTTTTGATGTTGTAAACTTTTTTTTACTTCTGTAAGAAGTTGTTCTTGTGTTGTATCATCTTGATATTGTTAGAATAAATTGTAATTTCATGTGTAATTGCACTGCTACAAATGCAACATTTGAACATGTCAATGAAATGAACCTAATGCAATGCTTTCTGATTTTGTCATTTAGGAAAGTGTGGAAGTAGCTTTGAACTCAAATATTGTTGAATTGTAATTGCTTAGTAAATGGTTAGATTGACCATGAGTTTGGCAAAAGTGTGGAAGTAGTTTTAAAGTCAAATATTGTTATGTGTGTAATTGCTAAGTAAATGGTTAGATTGACTCATGCTAGCTTGTATCCTAAGTATTTGTAAATCAATATATGTGAAATTAGAAAGGAGAATGTAAATGTTGGGGTTTCGGGAGTGTTTGAAGTGTCGTTGAGCTAAACGTTTAGGATCTTAGAGGCTTTGATACCATATATCCATTTAAAATCTTAAAATAATGAGTATATGAGTCACTTATCTTATATAGTCAATATTTCTTTTATTTCGAATGGATGTGAAACTTAGCCACTCAGATTTGAATCCCTATAATCTCTCTCATAATTGTGAGTCACCCATATCACTAGACTTGACCCATATTAGAATTTCACTTCCATTTTCCTGCCGAATCTAACCATGACTCTGATACAATTTGTTGGCGGGTCTGAGAAGGGTCGAAAGTGTCATCGGGTTAAACGTTCAAGATCTAAGAGATTTGACACAACATATCCATAAAAAACCTAAAGACTATGGGGCATGAGTCACCTCTCTTATCTACCAAACCTTAAGGCTATGAGGCATGAGTCACCTCTCTTATCTACCAAACATTTCCTTCATTTCTAGTCAACGTGTCACTTAAAAACTCATACTTAAATCCCAACCGTAATTTTTTTCTTCTAAAAACACCGATTAAAAGATTAAATGATGATCAGATGCTTCCTTCCTTCCTCTCCCATCTCTTTAGGAAAAATTTCCCTCAAACCTTTAGGGTTTGATGGCTGCCTCTCACCTATAACGTGACTCTCTTCTAAGTGTTTGGTAATAAACCTCAAAAGAGTCGTGTCTTGGAGTAGGTTAGTGTGTGTCTGTTGACTTTTTGTAGTGACGAAAAAAAGTTTTACATTATATTTGTTCATCAACTAATTTTCGAACATTCGATAAAATTGAACAATTTTAAAACTAAAGATAGTCGAAATGCGCAAATAAAAGTCAAAATAATCATCTTTAATTGCATAAAGACAATGTATTCTCTTTCCTATATTGCCATTGCTAATGATCATGTTGTAAGAGAATGGATATAAGTTGTTGCTTTCAGTCTATTTGTGTCTTCTTAACTTGAGAGCAATTTCTAGGTAACATCTTTTACTACCATATAGCTTTTTCTTACTTAAAAAGAAAAATACAAATTCATAAACCAAATTAAATATTCAGTCCTTGGTTGGTGCTTACCCCAAATTTTAAAGATAAGAAGACAAAAGCATAGCCAGCCAAAATTGAAAAGAGTTGTATCTGTCCCCACACCACAATAGAAAAATAGTGTCATATAGACTAAACTATTCACTAGTCAACTTCTTCCACAAATCACAACTATGTTACCAAAACAATGCACTTTACTTGAACTTAATTGGATTGGTAAAAAAAATTCATGCAAAAGCCAATCTGATTGATGAAAACATGGATATGATATGATATGGCAGAAACTGCAGTGTCATTTGTTTTGCAAGAACTAGGCCAATTTGTAATAAAAGAAAGTTGCAAATTTGCAGTAGAAGAAAGAGCTTCGGTAGCGGGGATTGAAAGAGACTTCAATGACATCAAAGATGAACTTGAGAACATCCATGCTTTCCTCAAGGATGCAGATAGAAAGGCTTCTGATGATGGCGGAGGAGGAGGAGGAGGATCCAATGGAGTCAAAACATGGGTGAAGCAGGTGAGAGAAGCGTCTTTTCGGATAGAAGATGTCATTGATTACTACAATATGTATTTGGCAGAGAAGGCAAGTCAATCTATATTCAAATCTGCGATCCAAATGATTCCGGGCTTGAACACTATCATGAATACAGATCATCAGATTGTTTCTGAGATTCGAGACATCAAGATGTCACTTGCTAGAATCAAAGAAAGAAGTACGAGGTTTGAGTTTCGGTCTGACAATGAAGCGGGAAGCCATAGAGGGACTAAAGCTCCTAGAATTGGCGACCCTCGAATGGCTCCGTATTTCATTGAAGAGACTCAAGTTGTAGGGTTTGAATCCGCGCGAGATGAGTTGGTCAGATGCTTGGTGGAGGGAAACAAGGAGCTCATGTTGGTTGTTGTGTTTGGCATGGGAGGACTCGGGAAAACTACTCTCGCAAAGCATGTTTTTGATAACCAGATAGTGAAAAGTAGCTTCGATTGTAGATCTTTCATCACGGTTTCTCAAACATACACTATCAGAGAGCTGTTGACAGAAATGATAAAGAAGTTTTGCAAGGACAGCAATGAGCCTATTCCGAGGGGTCTGCAGAAGATGGATGACGAAGCGTTGATTAATCAAGTGAGACAATACCTTGAGTCGAAAAGGTACTTGGTTTTATTCGATGATGTTTGGAAAGATAATTTTTCCGATGAGATTGTACATGCCTTAATTAGTAATAACAAAGGAAGCAGAATCATTGTGACAACTAGAAAAATGCAAGTAGCAGAATATTCTAAGAGCTCTTTTCCTGTTCATGTTCATGAGCTACAACCTTTGTCTCCAAACAAAGCATGGGAGCTGTTTTGCAACAAGGCGTTTAGAGGGCGGTGTCCAACAGAACTCGAGGAGATGTCCAGAGAAATCGTTCAAAAATGCGGAGGGCTGCCACTAGCAATTGTGGCCATCGGTGGTCTTTTGTCAACAAAAGCCAAAACCATGTTCGAGTGGGAAAAGGTGAGTCGAAATCTGAGAATGGAGCTAGATCGCAACGTGCATTTAACTAGTCTAGTAAAGATTTTATCTCTTAGTTATGATGACTTGCCTTACCGTTTGAAATCATGCATGCTATACTTCGGTATATATCCTGAGGACTACACGATCAATCGGAAGAGACTTACTAGACAATGGATGGCCGAAGGGTTTGTTAGGCACGAGGAGGGAAGAACTTTGGAGGAAGCTGCTGAAGAGTGCCTGACAGAGTTGATACAAAGAAGTTTGGTTAATGTTTCGAGAGGTGGCTTTGATGGAAAAGTCAAGAGTTGCCAAGTCCATGATTTGTTGCGCGAAGTGATCATTAGAAAAATGAAAGATTTAAGCTTCTGTCATTTATGCCATAAAGATGACGAACAAGTCACTGTCGGAATAACTAGACGCTTTTCTATAGCAGCTATCTCCAACAACGACGTGACAAACACTAGCAACTCAGGAATTCGTGCTATATTTGTTTTCGACAAAGGTGAATCTCCTAAAAAGCTCATGGATGGATTAGCCACCAAGTTCAAGCTTCTGAAAGTGCTTGATTTTGAGAATTCTTTGTTGAATTCTATTCCTGATAACTTGGGGAATCTTTTCCATCTAAGGTACTTGAACCTGAGTCATACGCAAGTTACCGTTCTTCCCAAATCCATCGGTATGCTAGTCAACTTAGAAACCTTGGATCTAAGGCAAACACCAGTGCATGAGTTACCAAAAGAGATAAACAAGCTCACAAAGCTAAGGCTTCTTCCGGCGTATTATAGAAAATACGAAGGGCATTATGCTATGTTGAACTTTACAATCGGAGTGAAAATGCAAAAAGGTATTGGAAGCTTGAAATCCTTACAAAAACTTTACTTTTTGGAAGCAGATCACGGTGGAAACGACCTTATCCAAGAGCTCAAAAAGTTGAAACAGTTAAGAAAGTTAGGCATAAAGCATGTTCGGGGAGAATACGGAAACGCTTTATGTGAAGCAATACAAGAGATGGATCACCTTGAATCTCTGAATATCGGTGCTATAGCTAAGGATGAAATCCTTGACTTGGATCTTGAATCAGCTCCAACCTATCTTAGAGTGCTCAACTTGAAATGCAAACTGACAAAGTTGCCTGAATGGATTCCAAATCTCAAGTATCTTGTGAAGCTAAGACTCGGTTTGTCTAACTTCGAAGACGATCCACTAGACTCTCTGAAGAATTTGCCGAATCTGTTGAGGCTGAATTTGTGGGATGATGCGTTTTCTGGTAAGAGATTACATTTTCAGAAAGGAGGGTTTCATAAGCTGAAGGAGCTGGACCTGACTAGACTAAGTAGACTAAGTTCGGTATCTATAGACAAAGACGCGTTACATTGTCTCGAACACTTCAGATTTAACAATAACCCTCAACTGAAGGTGGTTCCGCAAGACCTCCAAAACTTGAAAAAACTTCAGTTTCTCGGATTTGCTGATATGCCGGTTGAATTAGTGGATAGCATTGATCTAGAGAAAGATGGACCGTGCCATTGGATTATCAATCATATTCCGCTTGTACTAATTCGTCAGAAAGTAGGACAAAAATTTCATGACTATGAGTTGCGCCCGATTCCAACTCAACTCAATATCTAAAACATTAAGGTACTTTTCCTCAAAATATTTTATGGTTCTCTTGTGTTATTTGTGTCATACTCAATTTTGATAGTTCTGTGTTCATGCGAACAGGTTCATATTCTCCATGTTGCAGCTCACATGAAGATGCAATTTGTCTCTTCATTCCTTATATGGTGTGCTTAATAAATCATTACCTTGAATTGAATCATCTACTATATAATCAAGAATGTGTACTCTATTAATTGACAATTGCTTCTGTTTTCTTTATCTTTTTCTGTCATTTGTGTCTGGTGTTGTATGGATGTTTTTTCTATAAACAAGTACAATGGATGTTTCAATTTTCTATGAAAGATGTATGCAATTACTTGCATTGATGAACACCACCTGTTGCAGATGATTGTTGAATGGATAATCATTTATTAGAAAAAACAAATCAAAGATAATATATGAGGGAGAACATATTACTAAGGCACCATGTGAAAATATAAAAATGCTTCCAGATTTCGAAGATGCATCTTCGGACGCGCTCAAAGTCAATAGAACTCTGACTTAATGTGAAAAAACTACGTAGATGCATCTTTGTAAATATTATGGAGATGTATTTTCGGACGCTATTTGTTTTAAAACACGCCATAATCCCTTCTTCTTCCTCACTTCTAAACAACAATTCTAAACCTTTTTCAAACTCTCTTTACTCACATTCTCTCAAAATCAATCAACTAAGTTTAAAGTTTCTTCCATCAACATCAAGTAAATCAAAGACATCATTCAACACTGAAATAAACTCTCAATTTGTAAGTTTTTTTTTTTTTTTTTAAATTTTTTTTTGAGTTTTTGTAAGAATTTGTAGAAAGTAATGATTAGGTAATGAAATAGATAGTTTTTGTATGATTGATAATTTATACATAATGAGAAACGTGTTAAATAGTTAAAAGTAATGACCAATGCATTACTTTTACTTTTAGGGGTTTGGAGATATGCATTACCACCATTGACGTAAATGAAAGTTGCAGAAAATTTCGGAGATGCATCTCTATAATTTTTCAAAGTTTAGATTCCTAGAAACCGGGGATGCATCTTCGTAATTTATCTGTCTGCTTTTTTATTGCTTTTCTTGCTTGTAGTAACTGTGTGACACTTGTTTGGTTTATGTTGAAATAAACGAGACTCTGAGACATTTAGATTAAACTGTGTGTCGAATAGCACAACGGAAGATGAATTATATAGGAAAATAATACATATCATATTATTAATTACGTAGATATACTAATGAATATTCTAGGGAATATTTTCTTCCAATATATATACACATGTAAATATCAACACTCCCCTCTCAAACTTGAGCATATAAGTCAAATCCCCCAAGCTTGTTACATATATAGTTGGTTTTGGCGCTTCACAGTGATTTTGTAAATACATCTGTCAATTGATGATCATTAGAGTTGACAAAACTTATGACGATTTCATCTGACTCGATCTTCTCTCTAACAAAGTGACAGTTTATTTAATATGCTTGGTCCACTAATGGAAGAATGCATTTGAAGCAATGTGCAATGCAGCTTGATTATCACAAATAAGTGTCATTGGTCCTGCTTCTTCAATTTGAAGTTCCTTGAGCAACTGTTTTAATCAAATAAGTTCACATGTTGCCATGGCCATGACCCTATACTCTTCTTCGACACTTGATCTAGCAACTACATTTACTTTTTCAGGATATAAGGTTTCCTTCAACAAGTACATGATACCCAAAGGTGGATTATATATCAATGGATGATCCTACCCAATCAACATCGAAGTATCCCACTATCTGAGTATGTCATTTATCTTCATACACAAGACCTTTTCCTGGAGCACATTTGATGTATCTCAAAATTCGGATAATAACTTCCATGTGTTCCTAACAATGGGAATTTAAGAACTGATTTACCACACTAACTACAAAAAAATGTATGGACGAGTGACTGTGAGATAATTCAACTTTCCAACTAATCTCATATATCTTCATGGGTCAGATAGAGGCTCCCGTTGATTGAGTAGTAGTTTGACACTTAGATCCATATTAGTATCAGCTGGTTTAGCATTCAACAACCATGTTTCTTCCAAAATAACCATAGCATATTTCCGTTGAGAAATCACCAAACTATCTTTAGATTGGGTTATCTCATTTCCCAAGAAGTAGTGGAGTTTACCAAGATCTTTTGTCTGAAATTGATTCGAGAGTTGTTTTTTTCACCTGGAGTATTCTCTGCTGATCACTACTAATTATAAAACTATCATCTACATACACAATAAGATAACAATAAGATAGGTACACCCTTGGGCTGAGTGACGATAAAATACAGAATGATCAGTTTCACTGCGGAACATACCAAACTGCTGTACTATAGTGCTAAACTTGTCAAACTAAGCTCTCAGAGATTTCTTAAGGCCATAAAGAGACATGTGTAGCTTACAAACATTATTTGATGACTCCTCTTGAGCAACAAATCTAGGTGGTTGCTCTATATATACTTCCTCTTCAAGATCACCATGTAAAAAGTTATTTTTGATGTCAAGTTGATGAAGAAGCCAATGTCGAATGACTGCAATGGCTAGAAGAAGTTTGACGAATGCCATCTTGGCTATTGGTGAAAAGGTATCATTATAATCCAACCCAAAAATCCGAGTGTATCCTTTGGCTACCAAGTGAGCTCTAAAATGATCGATATTACCATATGGTCCAACCTTCACTGTATAAAGCCAATAACAACCTACTAAAGATTTCTCAGGAGGTAGAAAAACCAGTTCTTGGGTACCACTGCTTTGAAGAGCACACATTCTATCAATCATCCATTCAGGGTGAGATAATGCTTCACCTGAAGTTTTAGGAATAGGAATGGAAGACAAAGAAGAGAAACAAATATACTACAAAGGGGAAAAACGATGATAACATAAATCAATATAATGCAAAAGATCGGAATAGGTTATAGGATTGATCCGGTGATGGCGAAGGCATCGGAGGAGAGTCAACAATGACCTTAGGGGTAGGTATGACCTCAGGGATAGGTACGACAGACGTTAGTCGGCGATATTGATATGTTTAAAGAGAAGTAGGAAGGGAGGGTCAATTGTAGGAGTATTTAAAGGGTCGGTTTCCCTAGAATTATAGAGAATAATGGCAGATGGGGCTTCCAGAAGATGTGTGGGAGTACTTTCCTAAAGGGGTTCCGGAGTTACTTACCTTGAATCAAAATATGGAACAAACTCAAAGAAGGTAACATTGGCTGATATGAGGTATCGTTGATAAGTATGTGAATAGAAACAATAACCCTTCTTGGATCGATGATTGCCAATAAAGACACACTTTAGTAATCGATCTGATAGTTTATCAAGTCCAGTGGAGATTTTGTGTATAAAACATGTTTACCCGAAGACTCGAGGAGGAATTGGGTGAAGGGGAGAGTTTGGAAACATAATTGAATAAGAGATTTTATTATTAATGATAGATGGGGGAATTTGATTTATAAGGTAACATGTTGTGAGCACAACATCTCCCTAAAATTGGATAGGAACATTACCATGGAGAAGTAGGGTCTGAGTGGTTTCTACGAGATGTTGATTTTTGCGTTTGACTATTCCGTTTTGTTGAGGTGTATGAGGACAAGATGTTTGGTTCAGAATACCATTGGATGACATAAAAGTTTGAAATTGTTAGGATAAATATTCACGTGCATTATCACTTCTTAGGGTACAAATAGACAAATCAAATTGGGTTCTTATTTCCCAATAAAATTATTCAAAAATCGAAAATAGTTCAGATTTGTTCTTCATTAAAAATAGCCACATGCAACATGAAAAATCATCAATAAATGTTACAAAATTCCTAGACTCAAAATTAGACATAGTACGTGATGGACCCCAAACATCAGAGTGAACTAAAGCAAAAGGGGAAGTAGCCCATTTATTACTCAATCGGGAAAGTGACTACAAGTATGTTTCCCTAACTTACAATGTAAAATGGATAATTTAGATAAATTGGGCACCAACTTTTGTAACTTGAGAAAACCTAGATGACCTAATTGCGCATGCATAGTGAGTGGAGAATATATGGTGGAGCATGTGGTAGATGATGTAGAGAAGTAGAAGAGGCCTTAAGACTCACATTCGACACCAATCATCTATTCCAAATTCTGATCCTGCAAGGTAGCATTATTGTTAGTAAAGGTGATAGAATAATTAAGGGACCGAGTTAAACAAACAATTGATAGTAAATTAAATGGGCAAATAGGTACGTATATGACATAAGTAACAGAGAAAGATGGTAAAATTTGAACAATGTCAATCTGTTGAGATCGGATTTGAGAACCATTTGTGTCAGTTATACTAGGTAAAAACCAGAGGTAGAGAGGTAAGAGAAAAGACCTTTATTACCGGTAACATGATCAGACGCACCTGAATCGAGGACCCAAGGACTAAGAGGAGATGATTAAGAGAAATTGACAGATGAATTACTAGTGTGTATAACCGAAGCCGTGGAACCAGAGTTCTGATTAATTTGACACCACCTGAGAAAATCCTTGTAGCTTGGCATAGAGTTCTGAAGAGAAGGTGAAGTTTTTAGAGTGTCTGGATGATTAATTTGACCTACACTCACCTGTCATGGAGGTCTCCCATACAACTTACATCAATAGACAATAGTATGCCCAAGCCGTTTATAATGGTCACACTTGGGACGAGGTTTGGAGTTTGATGACCCTCCTCGAAAGCGATTCTAATTATTTCATAGAGATGCAAGGGAAGCACTATCACCTGGTGTCGGAGGAGCAATAGATGGATGAGAGACCGAGCCAAAAGCATGAGGTGTATCCAAGTGCAACAGTTGTTCACTAATTGCGTCATAGTAAGGAATAGTAGTACCGGATAAAATCTGGTTACAAATGGACTTGAGTTTTGATGGTAGTCTGATAAGTGACATGGTCATGAAAAATATACTTTGTTGTTCGGCATGAGTTATTGCATCTCTTGCGTAAGGCATGAGG